AGTATAATGTAACGACATTTTTAGAAAACCATGTTTGTGGTATTTGTATGACCTCAAATTTTGTACACCTACACTCTTCATCTCAATAATCAATCTACGCTCCCCCCCCCCCCCTCCCCCCTCTCTCCAAAAAAAAAAAAGTTCAATTTGAACTTTAGATATGGTTACAATGAGTGCCCTCCAAAAATGAATCTAGACCATTCATTTTGTGAATTTCAAGATCTTAGCCTTTATAAACTCCATATCATTTTTTTTCTTTTTTAACATTGTTCATCTAATGATAATAAAGCCACTCAAAATACCCCCGAAACTTTTCGATGATATTTTGGTTAATTTATTTTATGTAAAATATTTTTTTGATATTTTTTGAAGATTCAACTATTTTTTATAAACACACACTTAAAATTTCAAGTGATTTGGATTTGTAGAAAAATAAATAAAATTCAAGCACTACCGAACATTCGTGATCGTCAGATCGGTCCAGATTCAATTTAGGCCGTTGGGCTCATATGAGCTAGTGTGGCCATTAAAAGCCTTCTTAATGTTTGTAATGAAACATTTAATATAAAGGAACATGAATTCAGTGGGAGTGTGGTCTCTTGTAGACCATACTAAGCAAATAACATTTGTTATACCAAATTGTGTTTGACAGTCTAGGCCAGTCGATAGGAAAAAACCTATGTTATCTGGGCATAGAAAACTATCCGATAATGGTTCTAATAGGTCATCTCTTGATGAGGTCGGAGTATGCCCGGATGAGTGATTCGAGAGACTGTGTGATCATTGTGTGTGATGGTGACCTTCAGAGACAGGGGCCAAAGCATCATCCATGTACCATCACGTGGCATGTATAATGATAGACATTTTGGAAAAGTGAACCACATTTTAGAGAGAAGCTTATGTATGTACGAAAGATATCTCTATGCGCCATAGGAACATGATCGTATCAAGTCTAGGTGACCTTGGCACATCTCTAGGGGAGAACCTGAAATCCACAAACTGGGATTACGACCTCTTGGTTCTTTAACCAGACTTTGGTAACCCTCTAGTGAGCCCCTGCATAGACTGTGAGTCATGGGAAACACAAAGTCGGTTGATAAAGCTAGTGTGGACCGTCGTCCACGGTTGAAGGTGGAGTGCCCCAAAATGTTTATTCTTAGACCATGTGGATCTTTATCCCATCTAATGAATTTCATTGTGTTTATTTTATGATGATATGATTTTAGAATTATTATTTGAATTTTTTTAGATATCTAGATATTTTATTTATAAATTTTGGATTTATAAAAATTGAGATATTGATTTTTAATGTTTTAAATATTCAAATTAATTTTAAAATATTTTATTAATTTTTTAATATTAAAAAATAGCATTGGGGGCCTATTGTGCACATGAGCCCACTATAGCCTAAATTAGTGGGCCCAAGCCACTACATGGGTGGCACACCCCAATTTTAGGGAGTTTTTCTATTTTGTAGGGTTGAGTTGATAAGAGTAATAACTTTGGCTTGACGGCCAAGTTATTATGAGATTTGGAGAGGTATTTTATCTTGAAGAATATTTGAATGAATCTTTTAAAAGCTTAATAAGACGCATGCATATTTTGGATAAAGCATAATATTATGATTAATGTTATCTTATTTAATTTCTATTGATCTGATAATGGTCAAAGGAAAAAAGGGATAAATGTTCTAGCGCCTTTCATAGCATGTTGATGACACATCTTTGTTATGAAGGGCTCAAATCTCTTACCCCACAAGTCACCCATAATCAACGGTTCATATTCAATCCGCAAGAAGAGACAAGCCATAAAAATCCTAAGAAACCCTTATCTTATCTTTATACTATAAAAAGACGACCCCTTGTCTATAATTTCCAGCGCACCAATATCTCTCTTCTCTCTAAATATTCTCTCTCTCTCTCTCTCTCTCTTCCTCTTTGATATCAATAGGGGACATGCCCCAACCCTAGAAGTTTCTCTCTCTCTAGGTTGACCTAAGGGGCACGCCCCCACCTAGATGTTGTTTTATCTCCCGACAAACCTAAGGGTTGGGTAGTAGCAAGTAGACAATATCTTGATTGAACTAAGTTTTATGGGTTTGTACTTAAGTTTGAATTTTGTGATCAAGAGAGAAATTAGGTTTTATGGGTTTGTACCTAATTTTGAATTTTGTGATAGTTCACAGTTCCATTAGAGGATTTGCCTTGAAACTTGCTTTCCATTGAGATTGAAGGTTGATCATTGATCCCACGCCATCGAATGGTGGTGACTCGATGTGGGGTGTAATAAGCCTGGTTGTGGTAATTTTCGGTATTCTTCTTTTTATTTCTTGCCTTTTCAATTATAATGTCTTTACATTCCCAAGCACGAGATAAGTAGTAATTATTTTCTTTATTTAAAAAAAATTAGTTTAATGACATCAAAGTTTTTAAAGTCCTAGATTTGTTGGTTTTACTTTTATTTTCTTAAAACAAGAATTATTGTAACAAGACCGCTTGT